ACGGTTAAGGGATTGAGCTATATGCACCATTATTGCAAGAAGTATTCCGAAATACCAGAAATAGGACGTAAGCTCTGATCAGGGAGACTGTGAGCACAATTACCTTCTTTTCAAATCCTTCTGTGACACTGCGGGAGGAAAAAGGACTTTGAAACTTGAAAGGAAAGAGCTTGCTTTCAACCTCAAAAGCTAGGAGGAAAGGGCTCTGAAATTTGCTCAGTATTCCCAATTCACCATTAGCCTGTTTCTTCCTTTAGCCTCAAGGCATTCTCCGCTTTTTGAAAAGATGTTAAGAAATTCAGTCACAATAGAGAGCCTAGTTTTGAACATGTTTCACTCGGTCCATTGAGGTCTGGTCTTCAGCCTTTGTGTGGGGTGAATTGAGCTGAGCAGCTAGCTGGTTGGGGAGAGGTGAATGAGCAGTCTCTGTGCAGTCACAAATTCTGGCAAAGAAAAGATTACCCTTTCCTTTATTTTACAATATGCATTCCTGTACAATCCTGCTAGTGGCAATATGCGGAGCAGAGCTTGTGCTTAAGTCAATACGGAGCACTTGGTTTATAGCAACTCTTGTTAAGTTTGTCTTGTAATTGAAGCTGCTGTTGACCTTGCTTGGAGACCATTTGTAAAACCGTTTATTTAGCATAAACTGAAATAATAAACCCTCCTTCTCTTAGGCCGATTGTGATAGGGTGACATTAGTTTGATTTAATGATTAGCCGCCTGACCCCCTCAGCTAGAGAGAGCTGCTTGAATAGAGAGAGTTCACTAGGAAGCACACAGGAAGAATACTAATGAGCTTGTTAAATTTAGCATGGCACCAACCACTTTTAATTCCTCTAATGGGAGAAGCACTGCCTCTGAGAGAGAGGGAGCGGGAGGGAGAGAGAGAGAGAGAGGAATGTCCACATACCCGTAGCTAGAGAATTTCGGTCAAGAGAAGAGCTTCGAGAGAGTAAGCCAGGGTCTTTTGGACTGAGTTGTAAGTATGTTGTCTGTTCTCTTACCCAGATGACGTGTGTCCTCCTTAATCAGTTGCAAGACAATAATGCTAGTTGCAAGTTGCATATAGAAATATGATTATGAAGCCTAACGCATGCAGCCTTAGCTACAATGATGACTTGTCATTTAAATGTGGGCATCTCAGAATTTTGTTGAGGGGAGCTTCAGCATCTTAAGCAATGGTGTGAAACTGACTTTAAAAGGCTTGGAATAAAAAAGTTTCCACTTGTGTCTGCAGAACGTTAATGAAAACAAACAAACAAAAGTTTAATGGAGACAAGAAGTTTAGTGGACTGACATGTTGATGTTTGTTTCCCTTATTTTTTTTTTTCATTTTTGTTAGGTAAACAAAATAAATAATTAAAAATGCATTTGGTTAGGCAAATAGATCGATTACAAGCTTTTTGAAAAGATTTATTAATAAAACAAAGTATTCTTTGGTGCTATGTTTAAAAAAATGAGTATGGCTAAATACCAAGAATAAATATATTTCCCATTAGATGGGAGAATCTTGGATTAATTTGATAGCTCCAGACTGGGTACTTGTTAAACGTGTGTGTGGCTACTAGCTAGTTATCATTCAGTGGGGACACATGTGGAGAAGGAGAAGCTAGTGCAAATTTATCATTTGGGCATGATTCCTTTTTCTGTAATACGTCAGTAAGTCAGGAGAAACTGTGCTAAAAAGTGGGGGTACAAAACAGGTGTGAGAGGAGAATCAGGCCCTTTGACTTTAAATCATTCATCTCTCTGAAACTTTTTAGTAAATCAGATGTTTCTTTTGACCCTAAAGCAGGCCGTTTTTTAAACATAGGATAGCAGTAACCGTTGTCTTGTGTTTGGCTGTAAGAATCTATTGGCAGATGCTGCTAGAGAAGTGGGTTGTTTGCTTACATTTTTGCTATAGACTCCCACTTGTTGCCATGGTGGACGGTATGTTTCTGTCAATAATTTGGCCTGGCGCAGCTTGTCTGCACTTACTCTTAAACTTTATTGAACAATTCAGCTGAAACAGAATGAGATTAGACAGCTTTCGCCTTTTGGCTCACTGAAGTGGTTTTACTGCAGTTACAAGAGCAGGCAGAATTATTGCAAGAAAAGTTTCCCTTCAGTGTATAGAGAATTCTTTCAAATCACTCGGCTATTTGTATTCTGGAGTGCGTGTACTGTCAAGTTTTTCATCTACTCCCATATCAAAAGCACCTCTGTGGTGCAGAGTATGAAGTAAACTCTTAACAAAATGTTTATCCATTGGATTTCCTTATTATTGCAAAAATGCCATGTTGTTTACTTAAAAAAATATTTCTGTGTGACTATTTAGAGGGGAAGCAGTGTTCAAAAATGATTGACTGGCTAAACAGTAAGCATTATTTTTATGAGGAAAAATAATTTGTTGGTGTTGGAAAATATTTTTTCTCCTTTTTAAGAACTATTTATTAAAACGAAACACATTTTGCTTTAATTTTCAAAGTTACTAAAAGTAGGTTTGAATTTCAGTCAGCAATTAAAAAAAATCATCTCATTTCATACCAGTAATTGGTGCCTTGATTCTTGACACATGCAGGTCTTGAGAGGGACAGAATAAAACTGAATTATTCAAACAGACATGGACTTCTTGTTCTATTCTGGGATGGCAATTTAACAAATGTTAACTTTACATGAAGAGTAAAAGAAATGAAATGCTTATCTGATTTTCAAATTGATTATGTTGCTATACAAATCACTTCAGCATAGTATAGTAGCATAGGTTAGTCCTGCTTTAGTTAAGGGTCTGTCAGCGTTTCAAATAGCATATAATCCCCTATTTTTAAGAGTTTGCATCTCGTCTGCAAAAGTTCACTCTAAGGTGAAACTTCATATAAAAGGCTTGAGCCAGAGAGAAAATTGGTGGAAAAATTACTTGGACTATTTTTTAAGTTATACAAGCAGTTTTATAAAACCTAATATAAGTTGTAAACTAAAAACAGCTTCAGTGTAAAAATAGGAAAACTTTAAACCCCATTAATCCAGAGGATAGAGTAGTGCTTATGCATATTAACACAAAGGAAAAAAAAAACAGGCAAAGATTGTTAGCTCTGCAATATTTTTGTCCCTATTTATATTAACTACTTCACCATGGGCCCAATCCCGCAAGTCCTCTATGCACAGATGGGAGAACATGGTCAGAACTCAGCCTGATGCATTTAGATATTGCTGTATGCACAGGCCCCCTTTCTGAACTCATTTATAGCAGTGAAAATCAGGGGTAACTCGACTGAAGTCAGTGGAGTCACAACTGGTGTAAAGTTTGTGAGAGATTAGAATTAGGTTTATACCCTTTCTTATCCCTGTACTGAGTAGGCACAAGAGGGGGAGTTAAAGATGAACTTTTAGCCAGAACTTTGAACGTTCTGGCCTTTGACAGTTAAAGCTGGATTCTTATCATTCTGAACTGTTCTTTTTTTGGTGCATCAATTATAAAATAGTGGCCTATACATTTTTTTTTCTTCCTAAATGTGTTTTTGGTTAGTGTTCTTGTTGCTATCTGTTTTTGCACCAGAATTTTTGATGAGCTCCCGAACACTTTTCTGCAGTTGTTTATGAACATATCTCTTAATATTTACGTAGGACACTATTTATCAGTGCATAGTTATAAAGTGGGCCTTCTGGAAACAGGAATCTGGAGACCAAATGTTCTGACTTTGTAGATATAGGTCAGGACTCCAGCCAGTGATTACAGAATTGTTAACCAGCTCTCTTCCTGCCCTTATATAAGCAGTGATTGACTGTCAGAAGGGTGTAGATATGTGTGTAGATGATGGAACTTTGAAGTCATATGTCTCATGTGAAAGGTACCTGAAAGTGTGTGGTTAACGGTTGAACACCTGCACTGCTTGCGTCTCCTTAAATGTGTGTGTATATAATACATATAGGGTGGGGCTTTGTGTGGGAGCCGTCGGTGGAGTAGCCATGGATGGGTCCTTTGCACCCCCTTTACATCAAGTTAAAGGCTGTCAGAGGGTGGCTTAGAGAGAGACTGGGCAAAGGGCCACAGTAAGAGTGATGTCATGGATCCCATGGCCATAACAACACACTCAGAGTGGGCTGAAACAGCCATTTCAGCCCATCCCCTGGAGAAGCGAGCGCAAGGCCTGTATTTCAGGCCTAGCCACTGGCCCCAGGTTGGGGGTTGGAATTCATCTTCCTAGTTCCTCTGCATATCAGCCACAGAAAATCCAGTCATTTGGGTTCCATGCAGGGCAGCTGAATTTCACCCATACTGGTCACATACAGATATGTGTAAACTATATTTTTAATGTGTTTGTCTGTGAAAGATGTTTAACTCAATGCTGTAAAGTGTTAACCTCCAAGTCTGTACATCTCGACATATGTGGGTGACACTATTACAGCAGGTGACTTTACTGCTCGTACCTTGTGCTTGCTGAGTAACTGGAACTGGATAAACCCATTATGCTGTCGCCTACCTTAATTTTAATGAGTAGGGCCTTTTCTATTACTCCAGGCTCTTGTCTTTTAACAGTGCATCTTTTTGGGATGGAACGGCACAGTGGCAAATACAAAGCAGCAGTGGGTGGCTAGACTTGATTTAGTCTCAGCTAACAGGGTTCATCTTCTCCTGTTTGTGACAAATTGTTTTTTTCCTCCCAGTCAAGCAGCCAAAAATTCCAGCCTACTTGTCCCAGAGGCAAGAAAACAGCAAGACTGTGTCCGTTCGTGTAGGATTAATAGCCCCGCTGGTAAATGCATCAATGAATGGGTGATGATGATCTACTGCTCAACTGCCACTTGGTCTGAGTGGGCTAGTTTTTTCAGCTTATATCCCAGAACATCTTTCATAACCACACATGCACCTACTGTCACAAACTTACATTGCGGCTTTGAAAGTGGTGAAAACGGGGGAAAAGTACTTTTATTTTATTTGCTATAAGTGGTCTAAAAGAGTGTCTCTCTCTCTCTCTCTCTCTCTCTTTCTCTCTCGTTCTCATTTTTTTCCCCAGAGGATGAAAGTCCTGGACAGACCTATCACAGAGAGAGAAGAAACGCAATCACAATGCAGCCACAAGGTGGGCAAGGCCTCAGTAAAATCAGTGAAGAGCCTTCAACATCTAGTGAGGAAAGGGCCTCATTAATAAAGAAGGAGATCCATGGATCTATATCGCACCTTTCTGAGCCTTCTGTACCTTATCGTGGGACGGTTTTTGCAATGGACCCCAGGAATGGTTACATGGATCCTCATTATCGTGAGTATTTAATGCAAGTTCATTTCAGAAAGCAAGACTGGAAGGATACTGAAGCTGTCATATTTAATTGCATTTTGTATTGGCACTTTTCATCTCTCTCAGGATGAATCATTTTGCCTGTATATGTCTAAGATAATATAAGAATATTTATTCTTTTCGTTTATGTAGGAAAACGTTGTAAACAGTTGCATTGTATCCCTAAATTAGCATAGGCCTCTTCAAAAGAGACTTCAGTAGGGCATGTATCATCTGTTGCTAATCTTCATGAACCATCAAATGTTATATTTGCTCCACCTTCTTAGCAACACATGAAAAAAAAACCACCTAATTTAAAAAGAGCAGAGAGGAAAAACAAATAGGCTTTAAAACAATTCTTTAAAAGCTATTTTAACTACAATTTAAAGAAAGGAGGGAACACATCTTTTGGAAAGAGATTTTTTTGTTTTGTTTTGTCATTTTCTCCCCAGCTACAGTCCCCCTGAGTTACTGAAAAAAGTGAATGGTTTCAACCTCTGAAGTCCTGCTCAGGCATTAATAAAAAGTAAGAAAGTAACTGACACTTGAACACAGATGTGGAATGGATTTCTCCACAGGCAAAATATGAGGGAGTTAAGCAATTTTTTTCATCTGCTTCTAGTTTAAAAAAAATCATTTAGTTCTGTAGTAATGAACATCTTGAGGTGTCAAGACTAGTGCCTTTTGATTATAGATTTATCACCTTGTCAGGATACAGATTTGCCATTTAACCTTCCAGTCTCCAGTTCCAGATGATAGGCTAAAGACCCACAAAGAGGGGCCAGTCTGTGTTTTTTTTTCCCCCACATAATTCAGAAATTTTAGTGTTTTAAGGCAAAAGGTCATTAGCCAGACCACTGATTAGTGAGGACAGCTGATTAGCGCATGTTTTCTTGCTAAAGAAAGTGCCAGGGATAAAAGCTAATTCTATCCCTTCATTAGTTGGGCTAGCAGCAAAGGGGAATGTGCACTCATCAGGGTGCAGATCAAAGTGTGTCTCTCACAACCTTAAGTCTCACCAACTGCCTTTATTTTAACAGAGTCTGATTGTTAATAAAGATGGAGGCTAGATAAGAAAATGAACACTTGTCTTTATACTTGTTAAGTAAAAAGTTGATGGTGGGGGTTTTCAGCTCTCCTCTAACATGACATTTCAGTTGCTACATTCTTCCCCCTCCCCTAATCCTGTTCAAACCCTTTAAGCAAGTTAGTCACTCATCTTTTGAGTGTGCAGAGTATACAGCGTACTGCTGACAGACTTGCCTGCAGGAGAACACAGAACATGCAGAAAGAACTACTACTGTCAAGCAGTAGCCTATAGAAATATTAGTTTGCATGTCATTGGTGATTTGGCTCACACGTTATAGCTTCTAACACATGTAAATACAAAATATGTGAATGAAGAGACTTCTGGGAGCATATGGCAATTGTGTGAGTGCACTGTACTGCTGAGATGCAGAAAGTTCTAAGATGACTTCAGTGATGACAAATGCTACTTTGATCCCTGACTGGCTGCTGTGTCCCTTCCTAAACCAGTCACAGGTGCTAGTGATACTGCATGGTATCTACTGCAGAACTGGCAATAGGTTCTCAGCCTGCGACTGAATTGTTGTTGTTGTTTTTATTACCTTTCCAGTCACCACTGTTTAATGTACCTAATATGCCCACACCTTGACCATTAGCACCTGGCTACCATTGTTGTGACGTGGCCTGCACAGAAGCATTGGTTTGGGAGCAAGGTTCTTAGTAAGTTAAGAGAAAACAAAAGATTGCATATAACTAGCCTGCACAAAGGAGAGGTTGGGGGATAGTTAGTCCTGCAAAACCGCAAAAGTGCCCAAAGTATAAAAACATCAGCTGGGCAGACCTACTTCACTGCTGCTAAAGGGAATTTCTTTACAGTTTTTTTCTTTTTGGTTTGTAAAATCCCTCAAGCAATTAATACCATATAAAACCCCATCACATTTCTGCTTACCTGTAATAGATTTGATACAGGAGGACAACTAAATGAATGAGCATCTGGCTAAATTTATAGCAAAGAAGACAGACAGACTTAATTTTTCATATTAGTTGCATCATTTATATATAAAAGATGTGCTTTTATCAAATCAGTGATTGTATTCAGCTTGACATTTTTAGTAGTCCTTATGAAGAACACTGAATAATGTAATCACATCCCAGTCCCACTGTAGCAACAGGTGAAGAAACAACCAGAAAGGCCGTCCACTGTCTTCCGTAGTTTCTTGCCAGCTTTGCTGGGCAGATGGAGAGAAAATACTGCTTTAATCCAATGTAGCCGGGTATGTAAACATTCACAGTAATTCCTTAGTTTTCCTGTGGTTGGAAAATACAGACTTTTCAAGATGGCTAATTTGTGCTTCTATATATACCCACTTTGTATTTAAAAGTGTGGGTAGGTTTCCTGTAACACAGGAAAAGGGAAAATAATTTTTTTTGAAAGAGGACATCTGTATATTTTTATTGCAGCAAAAAAGAGCTTTTAAGTCAATTGTGTGTGGAATGCATGTCCGCTCCAGGAGCTGCAGTTATTAGAAAAGGCTCAAATACTTCACATTTCTACATGTAAATGTGCGTGTCTCTATATATGTGGGTTTGGGGGTGTTTTGTTTTTTGTTTTTTTTTTTGTTTTTTAATTAAAAAGAGTGATGGTAACTATTACTTCCAATATTTACAACATATGTGTGGAATAAATCCATCACTGAGGGGGTGATTGCTCTCTTGCAGAGAGTAGCGGGGAGATGAAGGTATGTTTTGAGTGGACTAGATTTTCAAAGAGCAGTGCTCAAACATATTCTGGGGCTGACAGTCCTTTTAATGTACCACTCTAGAGAACCTCAACCATTTAACATTTGAGAATGAGGGAGTGGCCTCCTGTTTGGGCCAGTGCCATTTGTCTTAGATTTGATAAGAGAGGGGAAAGATATCCAAGGCAGCACTCGGCAATTTTTGTTTTTCATTTCTATCTTTACAGTGAAAGAGTTATTGGAACCACGGTTCTTACATCCATTTAATCTATTGCATGAATCTCCTTTTTCTTTGAAAAAGATTTTAGGGCAGATGACAAAATTGCCATAGTTTCCTTTCACATGCTACACCTTTTCTGTCCTTACTAAGGCCAGGTCTGCCCTACCAACTAACACTGGTATAATAACTACATCGCTCGGGTGAAGAATCCACGCCCCAGAGCAACGCAGTTCTACTGACCTAACCCATGGTGTAGACAGCGCTATGTCACTAGGAGAGCTTCTCCCGTTGACATGGTGGCATGTTCACTAAAGCATTACAGCGGTGCAGCTTCACCTCTGCAGCTTTCAAATGTAAACCTGCCCCAAGGAAATCTTTTTTTGGCATGGTTACAGATCTCATTGCATTTCTGAAGTTTCATACAACATTGGTTATTTTGAGTCTTGTTAGTGTAAATGCTGTCTGTAGAGGTGGGGTTAGGGTAGGTAGTTCCTTTTGTTATTCTCTCCCCAGTTTTAATTCCCATGCAATTTTATGGCTGTGCTAAGGCCGCCTGTCATTCTTCATGGAAAAAATGAATCATTCCTGTTATAAACACTTTGATTTAAAACATACTGCTGGTATTCTTCCTGGGTATCGCAGCTCATCTGAAGGAACTGTTAGTTCCTAATTAGTAAAGCTAAAAGAATTAGCTTATGTAAAAGGCAGGGACACTTCAGTTGGCTTAGATTTAAAGGTCTCTGTGAAAGATGTTCATGAACAGCATGGACAGAATTCTGCTATCTCTGCAGCCCCAGTGAAGTGAGTGAGGGTGGAGGTGTATAGTTGAAAGGAGTCCTTGCCCCACTTTTTCTACAGGGATGTGTTTCTGCTGGTGTTTGAAACTTACACTATTTTCTTGGGGGAGGGGGAATTTTACATTTCAAAGGGTTTATCTTGCAAGATACCGAGTGTCCTCAGTTCCTATTCACTGCATTGGGTGGGGAGGATCAGGCCCTTAATAACTGCACTAGATCATATCTTGTAATGTCAAGTGGCATCTCAGAATCAATGCAAAGTGACCAAGAGGCAAAGAGGAGCAGTTCAGGCTTGACCAAATTAACAACACAACGGCAGCTCATTGGATGCACCTGTTCATATATTGAAAAAAAAAAAAATTCAGCAAGTATTTGCCAATTTTTTTTATCCTATTTCAGCGAATGTGAATTGTTATCTCAAAACTCCAGTCTGGGGGCATTAATAATTTTTTTTTCTTTGTTACCTACTCTTGACAGGCAGCCTTCTTTCTGTTATGAAACTGACCCTCTAACTGAGATGATAATAGTAGCCTAGGTCATTGCTGACTGATCAGTGCATGGAGGAACCACCCGGCTGCCAAGAACGAATCTCTCCCACTTTCACATGGAATGGGAGTTAGCTACATCTTTTGCAGTGTTCCTGTCATCCTCCTCCAGATCCTGTGGGGGGCACTTTCTTGGGTCTGTTGTCTGTCAGAGATATATGGCAGAAACTGAGTGGGTCCAGAGTAGACCTATATTATCTTTTCTGTTGAGTTCCCCCAGGGGTTCCCAGTGTTTGTAGCAGACACAGAGAATTTCTGTTACCACAACTCTGACCGCCTGTGGATTCCCAAGATTGGAGGGTGGCAGGTGGTATGGCCAGTCTTTGTGGGGCCAAACTTCACCTCTCTCATTGGACATTAGGAGGAGTGTATCTGTGAGGGATCCTTGCAGAGATTTACTCCCTAAGTCCCTCCTGCAGCATTTTCCGTGGGAGGGATTGATCCAAGTCAGTAATAATACTGTGCATTTACAACAGTTTCTGGAGTGGGTTCAAATTAACATCAGGGAGTGGTTGTTTAAAAAAGTTAAATCCAAGCTTTTAATATATTTCATAAAAGAAAGTGTTTATTACAAAACTGAATGTTAGTTTAGTGCTTAGTAGAGTGGTGGGAAAATGGTTAAAAAAATAGCAAAAATTTTTGTCAAAATTTTGAATTT